AAAAAAATCAGCAGCAGAGAAGCTGCTCGCTGAGCAACGTTAATCACTGCGAATCAGGGTGAAAGACTCCAGTTAGTTCAGTGCATCCCACTCCCAGCCCGAGGATGGAGCTGCTGTGGAGCTGTGGGTTATGTGTGTGCAATTGCTGCCACGCTGGTGGCTCTGCAGAGGTACCAGCCTCACCAGCTGCTCCCACGCTGCCTTCTCGGAACACACAGAGGGTCTAACTAAACACTTAAACACCCATAGGAAATTGCTTGCCCATGTTTCTCTGTCCATCATGCTGCTTGTTCTTGGTTTGGGGGGTTTTTTTTGTTTGTTTTAAAGCAGTATTCTGCTCATTACATTATAAACCCGAGCTTTTAATTCTTCAATGAAATAATATGACAAAATCTAAACGCCTACTTTAATGCGTCATTTTTCAACTCCCCTGTGGATTCCATGCTGTTTTGGTTCCAATATCCCATCTGTACCTGGGACCACGGTCCCCTCGGAGGGAGTGGTACCCTTCTTACACTAAAATCTCCAAACACAAAGGGAGGATGGACAGACACGAAACCAAAACTCACAGCTTTGCCTTCCATACAGCTTACAGCATCTCTGCTCTCAAGGCACAAAGGAGACACTTTTCCTCATATAAGACTAAACCTCTGGTGCTCTAAGGAGCTAACAGGTACAAGATCTCCACACTCCATGTTGCCCACTTCACTTTTTTCCTCCAATTTATGCTAGTAGGCTGCAACATCAGGATGAAGAATGCTCCTAAAGCAACAATTAAAAGTTATTGTCTGAAACAGCAGGGGTCATTCCTTACTGATCCCAAGGAGGCTACTCACATGAGAAAGGGAAGGTAGAGCGAGGGTCACAGTCTGATGATACATCACTGCATATTAAACACAGAAAATTTTATAGTACAGATGGATTTTAAAAAGCCTGTTAAAACTAGAACTGAAATACAGCTTCAATGACCCTCTAAGAGAGAAACAAATTTCAATTTGGCTTAACAGGTTTTTTTTGTTGCTGTTGGGTTGTTTGGTTGGGGTTTTTTTAGAGCATTCGTCTTGTGTATTTGCATCTCTCCTCCTACCAGAAAAGCCAGGATGGATGCAAACCTGCCATCAAAGGGCACATTTTCTAAACCGCTGCAACTTCACTTCTGAATATTAATAATTGTGACAATTGGGACTTCACAACAGTGACACATGAGCAGCCAAAGCTTAGTTGTGCAAATTTGTTTTGGAGCCATATGGAATAGACTGGTTTTCCTCCCGCATTTTAAAATTCTCCCTAGTCTTGTATATGCAAGTATGTATCCAAAAACCTTCCCCGTGATAGGGATCTAGAACAGCAATCAAAAGGCAATCAAAGCAGTCTGGCAGTGAAGGTTTGACACACGTTTGAAGAATGTCCAAAGGCCACAGAAACCAAGAGCAGTGTTTCCATTACAGCAATGGACATGGCTCAGACTCATACAAACCCTGAGCAACCAGCCATCACACACATCTACCTCACAGGTTATTCCCAATTTATCTGTGAAGGTGTCCCACGCAGAACTGCAGGCTACAACAGCACAGTACACAATTACAACGCACAGCATGTCCTTGTGTGCCTGTTTTAGTATGGTTTGTATTTCTAAGGAACCTGGTAACCCCCACTTAGTCAGACCAGGATGCACAACACAAGAAAAGAAAACACCACTTCCAACCCCCCAGTTTACATTCTAACTGGAAGGTTATCTACAGAACAGTACCTCAGCCTCTGCTTAAAACTACTAGGATTAAGAGGTTCTACCATCAGCAAGTTGCCATTACTTTAAATTTTTGATCTTGCTTGTACATGTTCTAATTTATTTACTTTAACATAGAAACTGTCTGAGGCAGAACCTATGTCTGTCTCTCTCTCTCTCAATCTGTGTACAGTACTGTGTAAAAATTCTTGCACTCCACATGATTTCATCATAAACAAACAGTTTGAAAGTTTGGTCCAACACAGACCAAAACCTTTTCCTAATGCAACCTGATACACAGTATCCTGCAACTGACTGCTGGAGGATGAACACTGTGGAACAGAGAACTTATCATTCAAAATTCCCACATCCTTCTTGGTGATTAAAAACACTGTTCTCATAGAAAAAGGTTCAGCCCAGTTGTTATACACTTCTGTTTTTTTTTTAAAGCCATGAAGTATCTGTTTCTTGGAATGTCAGAACTGTGGAAAGCCCACAGCTGACAGCAGAAAATAAATCAGCTGGGACAGTTGAAAGTTAAGGGGTGATGGAAACCGCTTACAAGGGTTTTTCTCCCATGTTAATAGCCAGGCAAAAGGAAAACCACACAGTGTTAGTAGAGTCAACACCTGACTCATCCGTTCATACCCTCAGAGTCATAAAGTCTGGAGTACCGAGGACAGAGCGTGGAGGCGGG